AGAGAGAGAGAGAGAGAGAGAGAGAGAGAGAGAGAGTTCTGCCCTCCACATTTTGTCGTACGTCACTATACTTAGTTATTAAAGCACAGTGTCAGTAAAACGTCTTCCTTGTCCTTGTGTATTCCAGGAGGCTGGGCCCTATGACGTCCTCGACTGGGCAGGCCCTCACGTGGTGGTGATCCCCCGGGCCGAGACCGGCTTCGGCTTCACGTTACGTCACTTCGTCGTCTACCCGCCTCCCTCGGTACTCGACGACTCCAGGGTAAGTCGGAATTCTTCTAGAAAGTGTTGTTACATGTACATGTACTACGGTACTACCGTGGACTGCACGGCCTTTGTCGTTTTCTCTGTCGACAGACTAAACTCAAAGTGTCTGTCTGCCTGCCTGCCTGCCTGTATGTCTTCTGTCTGTCTATCCATCCGTTTGTCCGTTCGTCTGTCTGTCCGTTTGTCTGTCTGTCTGTCTGTCTGTCTTTGGCTTCTTAATCATTCGTGTGAATGGGCAAGAAAGAATGCTTTTTCCCTCGGATATTTCTTAAGAGGGCGTTAGTGGTAAGTCGACCTTCGTCTTTCCTTTCCCGTTGCTATTTCTGTGCGTCTGCTCTGCCTTTTTCCAGCACTGAATGGCCGTTATCACATAGGTCTTTCTCTTTACACAGAGAGACAGCGGCCCACTCACTTCCTCTCGTCCATTTCTTACTGGCAACGTTTTAATTTTCGGGAACTGGATGCGGGAATTGAGAGATTGAGATGGAATGCCTGTGATGTAGCTTTGTTTCACCACCCGCAGCACAGTCATGTCTGATGAAACATTTTCTTCGTACAAAGATAAGCTTTGAGCATTTGCACCGAACGATACCCCATACCACTCTGGCTTTGTTTAGATTTGTTTGGTCTCCAAGGAAAAGACAGGGGATTGGGGCAGTCTTGTCGAGTTAACAAAGACCGGAGAAAATGGTTTGCTACAAGACGCAGTGGCGGTGTTGTGCAAGGTGTGTTTACCTTTAATGAATACCTGTGGGGTTGAAGCTGGTGGGTTCGGAAGTGTTGTTGATGATTGTCGTCAGTTCCTCAGCATGTGGGACGTGCATACGATGTGCATAGTCAAAGTCGGAAGTCTTCAGATGTAGAAAACCCTTTGTAGGTGCCCTTTGAATTTTGACGGCGGTTAAGCATCTCCGTGAAAAGCGAAAACATAATATTATAAATAATGATAATAATAA